TCAGTGATTGATTGACAAGGGAAACGATAACATGTTGAGAAACGTAATAGCATCAAAAACGTAGGAATAAAAACGACCCACTTACATTTCATCGTAATGGGCAGGAGATGCTTCGATAAATTTGGAGGAAATAATATGACAGAACACGTGTCATAAGGCTTCACATTTATTAAACTATGGGAAATTTATTCACTCTCTCACGCAATGGGAATGGAGCAATTTGTAATTCCGAAAAAAAAAATTTGTTTTTCTTCTAATCTCATAAAATTCGAAATTTTTCAAGAGCAAAATGCCTTAACTATTTTGTTCCAGGATATATTGAGAAGATTTCACATTAGCTTACAATGCTTTTATGTACTTTTATTTATTTTAATGATGATGATGAAAATGTGAGCAAGAAATTCTAGATGACGTATTTTCAAAAATAGGCGTTGATACATAAAGAAATAAAATATCGGCTGTCCTTTAATTATAAGGTAGCTCACAGCCAGTAAACGAAACATTCCACTCTTTTAAATAACTTTTTATTACATTAATGGTTCATTAAGAACTACGGACCTTTCTAAATAATACTAATTTTCTATTCATTTAGACCAGCAACAAATTTAAAAATATTGTGTTTTCGAAACAAACATATTTTTTCTATCTAAAAAATTTTGGTTTAGGACTGTTTTTTAATATTAAATTATAAGAAACTTTATAGTTAAATTTTAAAAGATAAATTTACAAATTAGATCACAAATTTTGCAAAAATTTAAAAACATTCTTTCGTAACAATTTATTATCCAAAACGTGACTTGAAATATTTCATTTGATTTTAAAAGTGTTATATAAACAACTATTAGAAAACATTTAATTAAAAATTTGTGATTTATCAAATTACTCTTCCAAAACAATTTACTTTAACGACTTGAGACATTTTTTAGTAAAATCAATATTAACGCAGTTTTTCAGTAAAATCAACATTGGTTACAAAATTGGTAATTGTTTTTGGCTATGTAAACATAGAACTCATTTTAAAATTTTTGTTCCTTTTTTTGTAACTACAAATTTTGATTATTGAATTTTTCACTCAAACACTAAGAGATAAGGATGCTAACAAAAAAATAGCTTAGGAAATCATAGAATTGAATAAAACCAAGCAATTAAAAAAAATTCCATTACCGCAATAGTCAAACTTGAAACGTCTGACCATATGTATAACCAGTGTAGCAAGTATAAACATGAAATAAAATTTATAACTTGACGATACAGTGCGGACAGTGATAAACTGAGCTCAGTAATTGCTTCAATTTATAATCCCCACTCTTAACAGCATACGATTTGAACTTCCAGGAGGTGTGCGATAGTAAAATAAAATTCCCAAGCATACAATAAGGGTCCAATACCTATCCTCTTCTCCTATGTGAGAGTGTAATTTAAAATGATCAAGCACTATTCTGTCGATAAGCCTCTACCTGGTCCAGAACAATAAATATATCAAAACATATAATGCAAATTTATGTCAAGATTAAATTTGAGATATTGGAATCAAGATCAGATATAATATATGCCAACCTGCAGCTCGCGAGCCACATGCGGCTCTTTGAAGGATTATTTGTGGCTCTCGATAAATGTACCCGAGTTCCCTTTTAAATTATTATCGTTCCGTATGTGTTTCAAAATGTCTTTTAAATTATTGAGAACAAATATGAAAGACTAAGTGCAATGTTGTTCAATTCAAGGTAAGTTTTCCATTTCCAATATAAATATGACACTAAAAGCATCTGGAGAATTAGAATTAATGGAGATGCAAGAAGATCAAGCTCTACAATTAAAATATAAGTCAACGTCGATTACTGAATTTTGGAAATTTGTACCAGAATCGAAGTATCCTAAATTAAAAAAGGCTGCTTGTCGAATTATTTCAATATTCGGAACAACGTACTTATGTGAATCATTTTATTCCTCTTTAAAATTCGGGAATTCCAAACACTGATCAGTATAAACTAACTAGCATCTCAAAGAATTACTGACAAGTGCTGTCACCAATTATTCATTAATTTTAAAGAATTATCAAGAGAAGTAAAACAAATGTGTTTAATATTTAAATTCAATACACAGATTTTTTACTTTTATTTAAATGTTTTCAATAAATATAATTTATGTAAAAAAAATAATAACACCTTTTTTGTATACGTTTTAAATGCCTATTAATTTGCGGCTCGCGAAAAATTTCAAATTTTGAAAAATGGCTCGACTATCAAGGAGCTTGGCCATCCCTGTAATATAATATATTTGCTGAAAGTATTGCATTTATACATTATACATGACACTTAATCTTAAAAAAAATCACTGTAGGATATACTAAGTGGTAGAACTTAATTAAACATAGAATTTATTATAGACAAAATTTATA